CTACAAAGACGCGCCTGGCCGCGGCCCTGCTCCCTTCTACCTACAACAACGTCGAGGATACTGCAGTGTGGGGGGTTGAGGACGGGAGGGGGAAGAGAAAAATAACGGCGACAACAACGAAAACCACAAATGCCACCTCTCCAACGTGGCACCGCTGGAAACAAAAGTCAACTAGCCTGTCAAGAAGAAAAAGGAGTGGAGATCACGAAAGACCCTTCATCCACTTCGCCCCTGTTGGGTCGCATGTCCTTCTGCGAGGCGTCTAAGCCCATGTTGAGGCTGCGTTGCCCCGCACCCGCAGTAACCGAACCAGCCGCGGTGCTGCAAAACAGCGCAAACACCGACACACACACACAATAATAATAATAATAATAAAAATAATAAAAATAAATAAAAAGACACCACCTCCATGCAGAGATGACGCAGGGAAAAATCAACAACAACAACAAAACACACGCACACCTACAGAGAAACAACAACAACGAAGCAAATTCAACATGTGCTACAGCGACCTCCACCCCCACAAAAGCAACAACAACATAACTTTTCTGTTCACTGCCTGCCTGCCCTCGTTTTGTCTTGTTTTTTTTTCTTTTGTTTTTCTCTGAGCAGAAAAGAAGTTGAGAGGGGGTGGAGGTGGAGTACGCGTAAGAATGTGGGAAGGTAATCAACGTAATTGGGCGAAGGCCGACGAACGGCAACGCCCTTGGTTGAGAGGAGAAGGGTTGGCCACAACGCCAGAGGCAGGCCCTCAACAAAGTAGGGGATGCATGGCAAAACGAAGACCATCGATGCTTACTAAGCCCAGCGCGAAAACATCCTTGTAGAACTAGCAGCGGTGTGAAACGGCAAAATAGCAACTACAATAATAACAACAACAAGCGCCCTCACTATATACGGCACAAAGGGCCTCTGATACGTGTGCACCCACGCAAAGGCCACCTTTGTATGAGTTCAAAGACGACTTTCCTTTTCGACCTCCCAATCTCTTTCTCTTTCTCTGTGTTAATTCAATCAGGCTCACCTTCACCATCCCAATACACACGGCGACATTGTCTGGGCGGGATAAGAACCTATACTCATTATATAAAAGAATATATAATGACTGCCACTCATGCAATTGACCTGCCAACGCCGCAATGAGAGCAACGAAGTAACCCAAGTAGAATTAGAAGAAAAAAAAGAAAAGAACAAACAAGTTGTATGCATATACATATGATGGAATAGACATTGGACGTGGAATCTACTCATTTCTTAGAGAGAGGAAGGAACACATAGTAAAGATCGGAATGAGTGGCTCACAAAACAAGGCAAAACAAAACATACACAATCTTTTCAGATCCTCCATTTCCCTCCGCACCTCCTCATCCTCACAGAGAGACAGAGAGATAGATAGATGTAGAGAGAGTGAGTGACTCCACTTCCTGAAACACAGACAAGAAAGCGCCGCGACTCCTGGCTACAGCGGCGAGTGCAGGTCAGACAGCGAGCACGTCACCGGAGTGCAGTTATCATCTTTACTGCCCTCACTCCATGCCACGGGTCCAGCGGGGCTGTTACGCGTGTTGTCTGCCTCAGCCTGTGCCAGCGCCCGTTCCCGCTCTGCCCGCAGCCAGGACAAGATAAACTGCACAGGCTTATCTGGTTTTTCACGCAGCAACGCACCCGAGAGGGCATCAAAAATTGCTGGGATCCCCGATGTGTACAAGTAATTGCGAAAATCTACGTGGAATTCGTTACTGCTACTGCCATCGCTGTTGCCGCTATTTCTATCAACAAGTCCTGGGGTTTGCCCAAAGGAGCCTGCCTGCTGGCGCGGCTCTTTTTCCTTGGCTAGCGTTTGGTTCCCCTCGCCCGCCTCATTACCCACAACCAGTGGCCTGGGTGAGAGAGACGGCATTCAGGCAGCGGCACACACACACACACACACACACACGAGGATAAAAACAAATTAGAGCGTGTGCTCCTTCTTATTTAACCCGCTGAATGCGTCGACGTGTGGTGGGACGGCGCCTTCTTCTTGGGTTTCCTACAGGCCCCTGTTCGTTTCTTGTCCTGCCCTCACGCAACCGCCGTGCTCGGCACTGTGGTCCTTTTAAAAAAGACGGGCGTCGCTCCCCCTGGGCGGCTGTTCTCTTTCTACTATTTTCTTGCTGTCGCTCTCTTGCGCGGCACCTACCATGTGTGGAATGGAGATAGCAAGTCAAGGCAAAGGCACACACCCATACACGCACGCGGAGACACAGATGAATAGCCGCATGGGCCCTTACTAACTTATCTTCTTCTCACAACAACCTCAACGCACCACTGAAGTAGTAGTCATCGTAGGGGTGCTGGTGGTGCAGTTGCACCGTAAAAAAACGAAAGGAGAATAACACACACGCACAGAGAAGGTGGGAGGGGGGGGGGGAAAAAAGCAAAAATGGAAGAAAAAAACAACAATAAGGGAGTTGCCTCTAATTGTGTGCGGCGGTGCACTCAAGGTGAGACTCTGATGGGGGTCAAAAATTTCCTCCACAAAACACCACCGCCACCGCCGGTGCCGCCCATCACAAACACCAACAACGACGGAGAAGCTGCAAACCCACACATGAAACATGCACACGTTGCATAGAAAAATAATGGGGAACACTTCATCCACCTTTTTTGCGGTGAACCCTGTTCTTCCCCCCCATACCACCTTCATCTCCCTCCCCTCTATCTCGCTTCATTCATTCAGCTTCATCCTAATCTATCCTGGTTTACTTTTCCTTCTTCTTTTGTTACCATTATCTTTTAATCTCCATTCACGTTTGAAGTTACTTTTCATCTCCATCGCTTGCTTATTTCCAGTGGGAAAGGAATGGGGAAAGGTGTGGAAGGGGGGAAGGGACATGCCAATCATTTCCTCTTATGGACCCCACCAACTCTAGTGTGGCCGGCCATACTAGCTACCTCTATGTCCTCCCACTATTTACCTGTGTATAATAAAAGGTGAGGGTGCGCATCAGCGACAGTGTGCTGCACCGCCTCTGAATGCCGTGCTCCACTCCCCAGTATCCCCTTCCCCCACAATTAACTCGGCACACGCGGCGTGCCACTGACAGCGAGGCACAGTCACCGGCGCCTGCATTGCAGTGCCCCCCTCCCCCCCTCCCACACGCACACACACGCTCCTCGATGTTTTACAAGAGTAAACATCAAAAACCATGCGCCCTGTGTATCTATGGATTCTGTTGGACAGATCACTTACTCCCCCCCCCCCCCGCGCTTTCTCGCTCCCTCGCCCTTCCTGCAGGGGGGACACACGAATACTCGAAACGAGTAAAAGGGGGGAGTAAGAAAAGAAAAAACAACAAAAAAACAGTCCAAACGAGACTGTAAAATGACCTTTAAAAATCAGGGAAAAGAAATAAGTAAATCGAAAGAGAGAAAAAAAAAACAGTAACAACTGGAGGATAATAACAATAAATCCCATCATGATCCAAATGTTCCAGTTTTGTGTATTATGTATGCGGGGTGCCACATCCCCACCCCCACAAAGCGTGCCCGTGACAATAGGAAATGTACATGCGATCGTGGTAGTCTCACCCGCCCCCCCCTCCCCCATCTCATTAGAAGTCCTCATCAAACTTCAACGCACCCGTGTGGCTCTCGATGAAAATGCGCACAAGCATACGCTGGGAGTTCTGGATGCGTCCTAGCTCGCTTCGACGCAGGGCCTCAGAAAACTGCGACAGGGCCTCCTCAGAAATTGTGGCGTCACGGAGCGCCTCCAAGTCCCCAGCTGCTCGAAGCACGTCGTTGTCAAGAATGACAAACGTCGGGATGATCGCCACCCCAAAAAACTCAAACAGTGGGGTGGCAAGGTCCATGTCAGCCTTCACGACACACGTGAGATTGCTAGGAAAGTCCTCCTTCATCATAGCTGGAAGGGCGCCGACAATCCGCATGCAAGGTGGGCACCAGGATGCCCCAAAGTAAATGAGGGAACGGGTGCCGGAGGCAGCTGCTGTGGAACCGTCCGGGAAGAGCGCCCTCGCACACACCGTACGAAGAAGATGTGCCACTGTGTAAACTGGTGTCAGCAATGACAACGAATGCAGCTGATCCAATGCAGTGAACTCCTTCACCACCAAAGGCCACCCACGACGGCGCGTGCCAGCTACCGGCACCTGTGCATCCCCCTCGCACTTGCTCTGGGCGCTGCCGTGTTGGTTCTCCTTCTTGTGGCAGTACTCATCCGCAGCTCCGCCGTCGGCACGCCACATGACCAAGGCAGGGAGAATGAGTTCCTCGCCTTTCTCATGCTGGGCAACATCCAGGGATTTGTTACTGGCATCACCTTTTTTTTCAGATATTAAGGGGACGGACAAGGCGGCTTCGTTCGGGTTCAATATCTCGTCCGCGCGAAGCAGCGAACTCACCCGCCGCAGGGCATGTTCGATATTGTGAGGTCCCTGTGTGCCAAGCGAAAGAAGGGAGTCGGTATGGAACAACGGCAGGAGACCGGTCGCAACACCCTGTTCCGCGCGACCATTCAGGCGCGTCTCGGCACCCTTTTCCTCATACTCACACAGCGGCAACTCGCCAAGGTCGAGGCGAAAGATACGGCAGTTCGAGAGGAGCTCTGTTGCGGGCTGCAGCGCCACACCCCCGTCCCCCTGCCCGTTCTGCAGCACAATGAGAACCGTCTCACCCGCCCTCAACTGTAACTGCGGGGGCGCCGATGCAGATACTGCCAACGCATCCGAAGTTGCCAGAGGAAGCGGTGCGGCGTCAATGAGTTCTTCTAGTTGTTGCAAGGAATACAATGTCGTGACCGCGCCGACGGTGTGGGGCCCGCGGCGGCGAGCATGTACCGTTTCCAGATGTTGGTTTGGATGAGGCACAAGCATGCACTGTGGACCCGTGCCGCACTTGTCCAGCGCCGCCACCTCCTGCCTCGCACGTGTAGGACTAGTGAATAGCGTCAAATCCTCAACATCAACGTCGCTCGTCTCCATCTCACCTTTCTCACTTTCGTCGCCATCGGGTGACACGCCATTCACGGAGGGGTGTTGCTGCTCCTCCTCTCCAAATTCCGCGAACGGCTTGGGGGTTCTCGCGTAGCCCGTGGCGTCGTTGTTCTCGTCCCGCTCGGCCTCACCGCCCAGGCGCGGCTTCTTCAGCACGTTATTCGCCTCCTCCACCAGCGCCACTGCCCCGTGCTGCGTCGTTGGAGTGGCATTTACTAGTTCCTCCCGCGCCCTCTTTTCAACTGACGTCGTCATCTCTCGTCTTCTTCACCCCCTGCTTCGTGTCTCTAAAATGTGGCTCCACTGCACTTCCGCACTCTCACCTCTCCTCCTCAAGACTGTGACAACGCCCCTAGCCGCCTGCCCACAGAAGATGTCTCACTCGTGCCTTGGATGATGCCTCAATGCCTCGCAGTGTGTCGTCCCCCTCTTTGCCTGATGCAAGCAGGCAGCACACGCACACACACACACACACACGCTGCAAGAGAGAGGGAGGCAAAAAAAAAAGAAGAGGAAAGAGAGAAGACGAAAAGAAAGAAAGCAGGAAGTACGGAGAAGAGGCGGAGATTTGTTGTAGGAGGAGGGAAAAGGTGGGACGCGACGCCTGCGCCAAACGGCGACCGACGCACGAGGAGGGAAAGACAAAAACAACAAAAGCGTGCAACCGACTTTTTTTTTCTCCTAAAAGAAAAGGAAGAGAACAACAAAGAAGAAGACTAAAAAAAAAAAAAAGAAGTGCGGCGAGTGAAGCAAACAGACAAAAAAAAAATGTGAAACCACCCGCCTGGGTCTCCTAAAAAAGGGCACGGCACGGCACACACACACACACACCGATGTACACGTACAGGTGACAATAACTATCGGGGGAATGCGGGGGAAGAAGTGTTGTAAATTGGGAGGGGGATACGTGAAACAAAAAAGCGAGGCGGCAAAGAAGCCATCACGCAAGCACACGAAGAAGATAATCAGCGACACGCGCGCATCCAGCGCAAATGGATGTGCAACGAAAAGCGAGAGCCCCACAAACACGCACAATCAAAATAAGAAGACGACAAAAAAAAAGAAAAAAAAAAAAAAAAAAAAAGGACGACG